GGAAAGGAGTACAACAAGGCTGTATATTGTCTCCCTGCTTATTTAACTTATATGCAGAATGCATCATGCAAAAGGAATCCCAAAACGGAATTAAGATTGCTGGAAGAAATATCAACAACCTCTGATATGCAGATGATACCACTCTGATGGCAGAAAGTGAGGAGGGATTAAAGAACCTGTTAATGAGGGTGAAAGAGGAGACTGGAAAAAATTGATCTGAAGTTCAACATAAAGAAAACTAAGATCATGGCCACTGGTCCCATCACCTCCTGGCAAATAGAAAGGGAAGATATGGAGGCAGTGACAGATTTTACTTTCTTGGACTCCATGATCGCTGCAGGTGGTGACAGCAGCCACAAAATTAAAAGATGCCTGCTTCTTGGGAGGAAAGCGATGACAAACCTTGACAGTATCTTAAAAAGCAGAGACATCACCCTGCCGACAAAAGTCCGAATAGTCAAAGCTATGTTTTTTCCTGTAGCGATGTATGGAAGTGAGAGCTGGACCATAAAGAAGGCTGACCGTCAAAGAACTGATGCTTCTGAATTGTGGTGCTGGAGGAGACTCTTAAAAGTCCCCTGGACTGCAAGGAGAACAGATCTATCCATTCTGAAGGAAATCAACCCGGAGTGCTCACTGGAAGGACAGATCCTGAAGCTGAGACTCCAAGACTTTGGCCATCTCATGAGAAGATAAGACTCCCTGGAAAAGACCCTGATGTTGGGAAAGTGTGAAGGCAAGAGGAGAAGGGGACGACCGAGGATGAGATGGCTGGACAGTGTCTGCGAAGCAACAAACATGAATTTGACCCAACTCCGGGAGGCAGTGGAAGACAGGAGGGCCTGGTGTGCTCTGGTCCATGGGGTCACAAAGAATCATACAGGCGTGCTCTGGTCCATAGAGTCACGAAGAATCATACATGACTTAATGACTAAACACCAACAAAATGCAGAGGAGGGGCAGAATCTATTCTCTGTCATCCCAGAGTGCAGGACACATAATAATGGGCTCAAACTGCATGAATCTAGATTTAGGTTGAATATAACGAAAAACGTCTTACAGGACACATAATAATGGACTCAAACTGCACAAATCTAGATTTACTGTAGGTTGAATATAACGAAAAAGTCTTACCTGTTATAGCAGTATGACAACGGAACCAATTATCTTGGGAGGTGATTTCTCCTATGCTGGAAGCATTTGAGAGAAAACGGGACTGCCATCTGTCAGATCTGCTTTGATTTGAATTCCTGCCTTGAGCATGGGGGGTGGACTTGATGGCCTTTAGAGGCCCCTTCCAACTCCGTGATTCCATGATCCAGTGATTCTATAATCAGCAGGGGGGGGGAAGAGGGGGCACTGGTAGCAGAAAAAGAGGAATAGAAAATCTGATGCTGAATGAAATAGGATAGATCTGAATGGCTGGAGGATTAACTATTTAAATACAACTGTGTAGTCACCGTTAATTCATCCTCCCTTCTTCTGTGGTTGGTTTTCTGTTGTTTCTGTCACCGTAAACAAGGTACTGCTTTTCTCCAGGCTCTTTTTCCATCACCAGCCTGGGAGTCAGTTATTTTTTTTTTGTCTTAGTTTGTTTTCAGCAGAAGTTAGCGATTCTGTGTTCCTTCTTGACTGGCGTGTTTTGCCCCTTTTTTGCAATTATGAGCCCTGGAGACCAGGCCCGGCTGCAGACAAACTGGTTGCTAATTACTGCAGTCACCGGATGGCATCCTGTTAGTTGGAGCCTTTCATCAGATATCTTCCAGTGGGAGGGAGACTCATTAGGAATCTCACCGTGGTGTCAGGTTGCACTTCCGGCAAAGGATTGCCCATTTTTCTAAGCAAGTCAAGAAATGCTATAGTAGGGGTTCCCAACCTTGCACCTCCAGATGTTATTGGACTACAACTCCCAGAAATCCTGGCCAGCACAGCCAGCGGTGAGGGCTTCTGGCAGTTTTAGTCCAAGAACATCTGAGGACTCAAGGTTGGTAAACCACTGACCTCCTATGGGAGCAGGGTGAGTAGAAAAAAATCCCATTACTGTGGAAGGAAGGATCAAACCCGTCTTACTGCAAAGATTAAACGGATTGAGTTAGACACCAAGTTAGACATTGTACAATTCAATGCATTCCAATGGGGGGGGGGAATTCACCAAAAATTAACGAAGAGTCAGAACAAAGCCAAATTAAGTTTGCAAAGGTTTTACAAGGTGCACTAACGATCCCAAGCTTTTTAAACAGTTTTTGAACATTTTAAGACACTCTAAAAATAGCGAAAACAGACCTGTCAAAACCATTGAAATGCATTGAAACATATTCAATGCATTCCTATGGGAAATGATGTTTCGCTTAGCGATGTTTTCCCATAGCGATGTTTTTTTAACCAATTAACATTGTTAAGCGAAGCACCACTGTACTAGTTGTGTGCCGTCAAGTCAACGCTGAGTTCTAACCTTAATAACTTTAAAACTGCAGAGCTGGAAGGGACCCCATTTGAGTCCAGCCCCTGTCAAGGTGCCACAGTGAGGATCAACCTCTCAGCCAGATGCCAAACCTACTGAGCTATCCAGCAGTTGACCCTTTTTAGGTTTTTCCAGGTAGAGAGACCCTTCCCATCTTCTAGGGGCATCCTGGAACTATACAGCTTGTCCAAGGCCAGAACTGGGGGCTCTACTCGCAGGGGGCACCATGGGGGAATCGAACCCCCCAGCCTCTGGCTCTACAGCCTCTGAACTATCCTGCCAGACGAATGAAGGCCAAGAAATCATGAAATGCAGAGAGCTTGAATGCTTCAACCATAGGATGAGAAATGGAAAAAATAAAATGGTTGCAGTTGATCATCCAAGATAAAAATAAATGTAAAGAGAAGGAGTTTTTAGATAAAGAACCTGGGAAACTGGTTTGCGTGGCCCTGATGACATCCAACCTCAAGTGGGAAAGCAGATGAAAGAATTAAAAATATGAGGTTTTGGGGTTGAGCTAACTTCATGAGCTGAGTCTAAAGAAGGAGGCTGCAGTCCATGAGCGCAAGCACCACGTCAGGCTTGTTAGTCCTGAAGGTGCTACAATACTTTGTTGTTTTTTTGCCATTGTGAAAGCAGCCAACTTGCTTCGCTCCATAAAATACTGGCATCGGATCAAGCCCACAATTCCAGACCGGCTTGCATGTGCATTCCAGCTGAGAAGTGGGCTCGGGAGCAAGTTTTTAAAAATCGTATGTAAACCAGTATATTTACTTGGCACAGGTTTACGAAGATCAAGTACCTAAAATTGATACCATACTTGATAAAATGGTACGACTGAATGTGTGGTTCTCAAGCAGACAGGAACGCTGGAGGCCTCTAATTTGAGGAGTTAACCATTGATTTCTGGCTGTTTAAAAATACAGTCAAGTGAGAAGCCAGCCAACTGCAGCAGCAAGAACAGTTGGAAAGGAACCAGGTCCTAAATAAAAGATTTCTGGAACAGCAAATAAGGCTTCACAGAAGATCAGGGACCCTCCGGGCAGTTGCTCATGAGTCTCTTGTTCCCAACCCTTATGTCAGAGTTTCTCGTTATATGTGGCAAAAGAGTTCCAACCTAGAGGGATCGGTCTAAACCTTTCCAGATGCACCTCTGGCTTTAAGGCAGAGGGGCCGATTTTTGAGGTCTGAATCCTTCCTTCTGATCTCTTCACCAAATTTATGCCGAAGGTTCATACTGGCTATAAGCTTCATAAATGCTAGAGTTTTGGCCACCACAAAAAAAGAATGTTCACTGCAACACGACAAACATGAGTTCATAGCTGACACTCCCACATTGCCAAGTCTTCTCCAAAGCTTTGCCAAAGACCCAGGCTACTTTATGGGCTGTTTGGGGCAATTTCAGGGCATCGCAGCAAAGAGCATTCAGAAAAAGCACATGCGGGCTTGTAAAGACACTGCAAACACCGGGTATCTCGACAATCTGTGCCAAACATCTGGGCTGCTTGTGGGTTTGGGCGGGGGGACCATGAACCCTCCATTTTGGCACATCACACAGCATTCTGCATGACAACTGATAGAAGATGCATGGCAGATTTTTACCACCTTGGCACTGATTTTTATCAAACCAGTTGTGGGGTGGAGTGTGCGGAGAGAATACAGGAAAGTAAATGTTAATCGTCGTTTTATTCTGGAGCAGAGCAGAAGTGAAGTGAAAATAAAAGGGACACCACGTATTCCTTCTGGCCCAAACCCTGTTGGGTTTTCACGATGGTGTGACACAATTGGCATACATTTTACTGGCAGATTGCTGCAGGTTAGGAAGTTCGTGCTGGCCTTGAGATTTATGTCCTTTGTGTTACACCACTGGGCATAACTAATAGAGTTTTGAACACTTTGTTTTATACAATGACATTTAACGTGTGTTTATTTTATTTTATTTATATCCTGCCCATCTAGACCGAAGTCTACTCTGGGCAGCTAACAACGCTCTAGAATAATAAAATTAAATAAAACAACAACATTAATACAATGAAGATGGCAAATAAATTAGGTATCGACAGGAGGGAAAGCCTGCCTAAAGAGCCAGGTCTTGAGTTGGCTCTTAAAAACACCCAGCGAGGGAGCCAGACAAATTTCTGGGGGGAGATTGTTCCAGAGGCGAGGGACCACCACCAAGAAGGCCCGCTTTCTTGTTCTTTCTCTCTGGGCCTCCCTCGGTGTTAGGCCCCTCAGCTGCCCTTCCTGGCTAGAGCGAGCAATTCAGGTAGATCTAGGTGGGAGAAGGCATTCCGCTAAATATCGAGGTCCTAAACTGTTTAGGGCTTTATATGTCATAATTAACACCTTGAAATTAATGTGGAAACAAACCGGCAGCCAATGCAGGGCAGCCAGAGTGGGGGACATATGTTGATATTTTTCTCACCCCAGTAAGAAGTCTGGCCGTTGCATTCTGCGCCATTTGGAGCTTCCGCATCAGTCTCAAAGGTAGCCCCACGTAGAGCGCCTTACAGTAGTCTAATCTCGAGACCACAAGCGCATGGACCAGAGTGGTGAGAGCTCCCACATTAAGTTAGGGACGCAGCTGGTCAATCCGCTGAAGATGGAAATAGGCGGTACGGACCACTGACACTACCTGGGTCTCCATTGTATGGTGTCAGGTCAGCATTATCTTTTCTCCTTGATTTTTTTATTTTATTTTATTTATTTTTTTTGGTGAGGCTGGATGCAGGTGAATAAATGAATCATAAGAAAATATGTGCTAATAAATGAAATTACCATCTCTTAGGTCAGGAATGGGTTACCTGTGGCCTGTGGGATCTCCCCCCACCCAGCCCTATCCCATACTGTACAAATGATTGTTCAAAAAGTCACTTCGCGCACTCTTTAAGTTGTGGGAGGGAGGAATTCTGCCATATGTTCAGGCTCCCCTGCATCATGGGACTGCTCGTGCTTGTTTGTGTGTGGTGTGCATGGCATACACACACACACTTTTTGAAAAACATTTAAAACACTAGAGGGTGCAAGGGGATTTTTCATTTAAAAAAACAGAGTTTCTCTCAGAAAAATATCTGGCGACTAGAAGACATGCCATTGGACACAGTCTTTAGAGTTGGTTATGTGTGGCCCTCTAACTTTCTGCGAGCGGGCATCTGCAAGGTGTCCATAAATTTAGAGTTTTTGCTCTACAAAAAGACGTGTTTCCTCCACTCCCAACCTTGAGAATCCATTTTCCACTTTCCAAGTTTCCAAGAAATCAAATCGTTGTGTTCCTCCCATCCTTTCCGTGGCTAACCGCTGAATCTGCAGCCTGTCCAGGTGAAGAAGTGGACCATGCACCTCAATAACTGATGCATCATAAAATGTGCTGGGTTTAAAGGTCTTACCCAACCTGAAGGTTTTTTTTCCCCTGTGGCTTCAGGCTGTGAGGATGTAAAGCCCAAATATCTGAATAGTCAAAATCAAAACCGGCATGGCAGGAATAGGATTCACAGTATGAACCCCTTCCTAGTATGAACTAGTTCACCAAATCATATCTTGTAAGATCACACCCCACATTTTTTTTGTTATGTCTGGACTAAAACAGAGTCATAGAATCATTGAATAATGGAGTTGGAAGGGGACTGTACGGTCATCAAGTCCAGCCCCCTGCTCTAGGCAGGAATCCACATCAAAGCAGATCTGAAGGATGCTTGTCCAGTTTTCTCTTGAATGCCTCCAGCGTTGGAGCGCTCACCGCTTCCTGAGGTCAAGGGTTCCGTTGTTGTACTGTTCGAACAGGCAACCTTTCCTAAGATTAAGCTGAAGTTATAATGCTGAGACACAGTCAAAGAAATCATAGCATTAAATTGCAATCAAGATTTTTTTTAAAAAAAAAGCAATTTAAAAACATATTTGAGCAAAAGAGAAAAAGCAGGCCTGCTTTGCTAAAAGCCCCTTATTTATGGCATCACTCCACCTTTGTTTCTTACACACCTAGCTGTGCTTGGCAGGATGATGCCCTAAAATGGGGATTCTCATTTTACCACGCTTCCCTTGTAAAATCATTCCCACCCCCATCATCCCCACCACCCTCATCTGGATGCAAACATCTGCCTAGGCTGGTATCCGCTGCAAGTGCAGAAACCTGATTTCTGTTCACAGCTTTCGTTTGCTTCGTTATCTGTGTGCGCACAAGTGTCTTGTACATCATTGCTGTAAAATGTGTTCCCCTCTCCATTTTGATTTAACTGTCCAGCCTTGGAGCATAAGGAATTACGAACTGGCACACTCTCTTAAGGAAAGAAAATATTTCAAATGCCTTTCTGGCATGATTATTTAAAATCCAGTTAGAACTTTTTCATTTCCACCCTTACACGGATGCCGTAATCCTGCTTCCATAAATCAGTTTGACTAATCCTCTCTCCTCGTTTCCTCGTTTTTTTTTTTGTTTCCAACTTCCCTCCTCGCCTTCCGCTTCTTCCTTCTCTTGCCCCCCAGCCAGGCTGATGTCTGTGAAAGGGCAACGTCCCGGGTAGATGGTATTTATTTATTTGTTGCCTCCTGAAACATGGGCATTTTTCCCCCTCCCCATGAAGCTGGTTTAGTGCATCTGCTTTGGTCAAGGGTCTGGCAGTGAGGAAAACAGCAGGATTTCCACACAATAGATCAATGGCTTTTCAGAAGGAAGGCTTTTATTCCCAGAATGCATGAGGCAGACTTGAAGACGTGAGCCCCTCGTTCTGCTGCTCTCTGATCTGCCTGTGTTTTTTCTTGTCGTATGCGATGCTTGTCTTTGCTTGCCAGAATCAATGCAGCTTATACAAACTAGCTGTCTTTTATCCAGGGTGGCGGCACGTGAGTCTCTTGTAAAGGCTTTCCTCTTTCACACATAAGCACACACATACAAGCGTGCACGCACTACACCGACTGTGGTACGTTTTGATACTTCGATTGTACTTAACAGAGCAGAATTTTAAGATCTAAGATTTAGCCTCTGTCCGTGATTTTGGAAAGACATGTCTGTGCTCTTGTTTAGGTATCAGAGGTCTCCAAGCTGCCTGGCCACATGGACAATGTGTAACATTCTGTGTTTCACAAATGGGCTGCAATCCAGGGCCAAAATCAAGACATTCGGGGTTTTGCTGTTTTCCTTGTTGTAAAGTAGATCCTCTCTTTGGTGAACTAAAGGTACCCTATGTGGTTCATTTCCTCTTCTCTGTTACTCCTTCCTCACACTAACCATGCAAGGTAGGTAAAGCTGAAAGAGAGTAACAGCTCCAGAATCATCCTTTGAGCTACATCGTTTGGGGAAAAGACAACTTAGATCTTCTGTATCCCCGTCTGGCAGACCTAACTGCTGCACCATGGTGCCACCTTGGTTTGATATGGTGGGTTCAACCACTGACCTAAATAACCAGACCAGATCATGCATTTCCAGCTGGGTGAAGCAATTCCCCCAGCCCTTGTTTCCTCCATCAAAATTAGAGATGGGCACGGATTGCCAAAATGGGTGTTCATTTTGGTTCATGGTTTGTTTGAAAGTCCACAAACCACGAACCATGAATTTATCAATTTTTCCTGAATGAACCACAAATCGAGTCGTTGGTTTGTTCAGGAACTTTTTTTTTAAAAAAAGATACCCCGGTGGCTGTCTGGAAAAAAAATACCAGGCCTGGCTGCCTCCTTGTCACAACAGCCTGCTTTGCCCCCTTCCCACTGCTCCCATTACCTCTCTACCTTTTCCTGCCACTGCCTCCTCCTCCTCATACTACTACTACTACTCTGCCACCATTGCCACCATCTTGAGATGCAGCCAGCTCCACAGGCTGGCGGCCTCTGTGCACGTCCGCAGAGGCCTCCCGGTGGGCTCATAAGGTCAGCAGCCTTTAAAAAAAAATTTCATCGGTTCAGGAAAGTTCGTGTTCTCTAGTTCCGAATGACGCAAATCAACGAACCAGCAATTTTTAATGCATTTCCTGCTTCGTTTTTACATTTGTGTCCATCTCGACTCACAATCCTAGTTGAAAGCTGATAAGAGCTGAGGTGGAAGTTTTGTGCATTTCGGACTACCTGCTGCATCCAGGATTCTGGGCTTTGTGGTCTAGAAACCCCTAACATTTCCATTTTCTAGATAAGAAATGATGCTATCCGTCCTGTAACCTGTGTGTAGGAAGATGGATGGATGTTTTTTAAAAATCCCTCTCTCCATTATACCGTTAGCCTTCCTGGAATGCCTTCCTGGAATGGATCTTTGGTAATACATCTCTTCCCCTCCCCCCATGCCCATGGTGTCCAGTTCCTTTGTTGTCTACTTGCATGAAAGGATGGGCTTCACTTCCACTGATGTTAGTGGAGCCGTGAACCTGTTCCAGCTCAAACATCACATAAATCTCCCGTGATGGTGTGGGTGGTGAGTCATCTCTCTGCATCTGGTGTGAAAGCTGGCATCCGAGTGGATCTTCTCCCTGGAAATGTGTGTCTGGAGCACTCTCCGGCTCTCTCCGTCCTCTCTGCTTTAATTGCTCTGGTGTGAAGTCAATATCACCAGAGATGAGTCATCTCTCTGCATCTGGTGTGAAAGCTGGCATCCGAGTGGATCTTCTCCCTGGAAATGTGTGTCTGGAGCACTCTCCGGCTCTCTCCGTCCTCTCTGCTTTAATTGAAGTCAATATCACCAGAGGTGTCGAGGGCTTTGTTCAATTGTCTGCCCAAAGAAAAGGAGGAAACGCAGGTTGTGGGCGAAGGGAAGAGCACATGGGATGATAAATAAGATGACATGTAGACAAATGCATGGGTTGAGGTCCAGACCAACAAAGGCAGGAAGTGGAAAGTCCCCGCTGATGCTGTGTCCTTTATTCCTGCAGTCGGCCTCCTGGAGTTTTGTTCTGTTGTCAACACCGCTGGTGCGGTGAATGAATTTGCTTTTCTATTTATCGCAAACATTTTGTGCAATTTTAAAATACAGATGTTCAATTTCTCACCCACCCACCCAGCTTCTGTCTGTCTCCCTCTCGAGCTGTGGCCTGTAGGTGCCCCCCCCCAGTGTTTCTCACGCAGCCCACGTGTTCCCATGAGCTCCACCATGGCTATTGGCATTGCGGCTTCGGCATTGCGAACTGTGGACAGAACCCCTTCTCTCTTGCTGGCGAGAGACTAGATCATGGAGATGCATGAACTATGAATGCCATGCTATCCGAGGGGGTGTGGGACCTGTAGTCTTTCAAAAAGTAACTTCTCCAAGCTCCGTCAGTGATTCAGCAGCACCCTTGACTACCTGTTTTGCTTTTGCTGTCATGCTGAAGCATGCCTTTGGAGCTGCAACCGAGGGCGTCTATCTCCGGACTAGATCAGACGGAAAGCTCTTTAATCTCTCTAGATTGAGAGCGAAGACCAAAGTCCAACTGAAATGCATGCGGGACTTCCTCTTCGCAGATGATGCAGCCATTGTTGCCCACTCTGCTGAAGACCTCCAACAACTCATGAATCGTTTCAGCAAGGCCTGCCAAGACTTTGGACTAACAATCAGCCTGAAGAAAACACAAGTCATGGGCCAGGGCGTGGACTCACCTCCCTCTATTACCATCTCCACACAAGAATTGGAGGTTGTTCATGACTTTGTGTACCTCGGCTCAAC